ATGAAAACGGGCAGAAAAACTATGTCGCGGGACTAGACACAAGAGAAAAACGTATATGGGAGACAGAGGAGTCAAGACCAAAAGGTGAATTTGTATGGACTTGCGTAGAGCCTTATGGGCAAAGAAAACAAGCTGAGTGCCATGGTGGAGAGAGAAAACAATTTTTGCATTGGTATTGTAGTGGAATATGAATCAGAGAGGCCAGAAAGAGGAGTTAGCAGTAAAAAGGACAAGCACTCCAGCTGTTGCAAGAAAAGCAAAGGGCTACTCACGTTTGTGTGCTCTACTTGTGTAAAGGGAGAGCAGTATTGGCTCTCTGTTTACAAAACCCTGTTTTCAGAAATAAGTTTGTCAGCCAAAGTGAAGAGAAAAAGATCAATGGATTGCAATAAATGGCATTTAACATAAAAATGAGTAAAATTTACAATTCAGTTAACTTGCTAAATGTTAAAAAATCAGCAAACAATAGACGCAATTTGTTTTGTTCAGAGCCCAGAGGTAGAGACCAAATCCTCTAAATTAATTTCTGGAAAAGCTGGTTTTTTTTTCCAAACAGGTCTGGATCCTATTCGTTGTAGAATATACTGATTACCAACTATTTTTAAGAGCTTTACACAAACATTATTTCTTTTGTTGTGTGAAATGCAGAATCAGCCATCTGGCAAATGCCCCAGAGCTAAAATCTTTTACATGACATATAATTCAAAATGATTAAATATACAACAGAAAATAGCTATAGCATTGCACTTAAAATAGCATGAACTTTTACTGCCGATCAAAACTGATTTCTTTAGCTTAACAAGTATCCAAAGAACAATTATTTGAAGAGCTTTTAAGAGTTTCAATATGTAGGAACTAAACCTCATCTAAATTCAGTATCTTAAGTCAAATAAAAAAGAAACAAATGTACAAAAGATTAAATGGTCCTGTGTTACAAGTAGACATTTGAATCTATGGGAAGCTAAATTCATTTGAACAAAAATACTATATTCCCTCTGTATGTGTATTGCTGGGGCTTTCCTCTCCATTGCTAAGGGCATCTGCCAAAACAACTCTTACATTCTTAGGCAATGACTAGGGACTAGCCTGGAATCAGACTGTTCATCCACTCCCTCCATCATCAGAATGGGCGATTTCAAAGAAGGACAGGGAGTAAAGCTCCGTCCATGAGTCCTAAGTGCAGTCAATCTTTTTTCCTGCACCACAGTCGACTTTAAGTTAAACTTGCTGTCTTTTTTCCAGCAATACTCCAGGCCTGAAAAATTGCCAGGTCCTCATCCCACACCCAGTTCTCCAGTAGTTTATGAGAAAGAGCACGCAAACATCTGCATGTGTTTGGGGTACATGAGGGTAGGTACAGAAATATTACCCTGTGTAATTATTGAGTGGTTATGGCTCTGGTTCTCAACTACATTTTTCAGACAAGTCGAAGTCTGCATTTCCCAAAAAGCACTTGGTGCAAGTTAAATCTGAGTTGTAGGACAAAAAAAAAAAAGTCTAAATGTAGGAGAGATTTACCTCACGGATTTGCATAGTTGGATAAACCTGAAAGGGATGAATACATCGCTGCCCACTTTCCAAAAAATTTTGCCTCTAAATTCTTTCAGACCAAGCATGAGAACCTTCATCCCAAGGTAACAACGTGAGGAAACTCTAAGCCTGTGATTACTAAGGCTTAGAGTTAAACTGGCTTCACACCCCTGCCTGTGGAGTTGGGTCAGCCTCACAACCGAGGAACCTCAGGCGTTCTAACCCCAGACTTTTCTAAACTATAATAAAATAATGTTCTTGAATCTTGACCTTTTCAGCTCATAATGATTCCTGAAGCAGCAGGATTTTACTGCTGCTTTTTGCAAGACTTTCAGGCTTGTAGAAATCCTAAGCTGATTGCTGGCTGCTTTGGGATTGCAGCAACACCAAAACCTCTCCTCTTAATAAGACACTTGTCCTGGTTTTCTGGGCCAAATCCTGCTCTTAATAACATGCATGTTAATTCAGTTACCTGACTGGGCTTTTAGCATAAAGGCAGGCTTTGTGTCTTCTTGCTCTTGATGTTATACGGAGAGATGCATATATTTCAGGTAATGCTGACTGCAGGATGGGAAGCTACCCTGTGCACCATACACATACTAATTAAACCTGAAGATGGAGTATGAAAGTAGTAGCACAAATATTCTCATCTTACGAAGAGCAAAAGCATGTTTTATATTATTTATCCCATCCTTGGGAGAACTGCAGGAGAACCAGAGCAATTTTCGTCAAAAATATCTTTGCTTGTCATCAAAAGCGAGGTGACCCAGGCAATCTATAATCTCTTCCATCTCAGTAGAACAAAATTTCTATTTTTGACGGTATTTTCTCTTTGAAAGCTATGGGCTTCTCTGATATTCAGGGTCCTAAAACCTGAACGTGACCGCTCTCCTTGTACGTCCCTGCTTTGCATTAAACATAACATCATATATTTTCTACTTTTCACTGAAAAATTGGGAAATCTTCCCATCTTTCTATTGACCAAACACTGTTACAAAGGTGCCAGGAGTCCTATTTCTGAAAAGAAAAAAAAAAAGTAATACTCCTAGTGAAACAGGAGTCTAGTCCTAGTATCTATTCAAAATAAACAACGTATCTGCTTACAAATGAGCATTCCCATTCTTATTTATGTGTCCAATTTTGCGTACTTCGCAATACTGGAAAAAAGAAAAGATTGAAGAGCACATGGAGAATCGAGAGAAATTTGAGCATCCCTGAGGAAACGGAGGTTTAAGGACGGAGTAATAACTGCAAGACTGTAATGAGAATTTGGAAAACTTTGCTAGATAAAAACGTATAACAAAACTGTTGCTGTCATTTCATTCCCTGGGCCTGATTATGTTTTCATGATGGGCCTTTGCACTGCTTTAGCAGTAAGAGCTCTTCAAGTAAATGAGTATCAGACCTCCACGCTAGTGAAATGCAAGGCTTGCCAAATTTAACAGGAGTCTCCACGGTACTCTACATCCACTCATCTTGACAAAGAAGTGGTGGAAGCAGACTCAGTAGTTTCAAATGGCGTCTGTTTTCTTCTCTTCTGGAATGGTACCTGGACGCTGCCAGTTTGGAGGCAAGTCAGCACCAAGGCTGTGCGCTTCCTTGCCCTCTTTCACAAACAGCCGAGAAACAATCAGAAATTGCTTCATAATAGGGCCAGGGTGAAAGGTGAGAACTGGAGTATTCTGAAAGCCTGCTGCCAGACCTGAGGAAGATAGTGTCACTTCGGTAAACCTGTCAAGCTGTTGTAAGAACTTCCTGAATGCTTCCTACCATCTGCTTTTGATGCTTTCAAGACTTGGCTGGAAGCCTGGAGGTTTTCCTGCTCCTTCCTGCCCAACCTATAATGGCGTAATTCTGGATCTGTTCCCTGTCATCCCAGCCTCTTCCTCAGTTTCTTCTGCTTACAGCTGGGTTTTTTTATTTTTTTTTTTCTTTACTGCAGTGGCCTTGTGCCCTGAATCATCTCTCCTGGGGCGGTGAGAGTTCCTCTGATGTTGAACAAGTGCCGGGTTTTTCAATTGTGTTCATGTTCTTGAGAGGAAGGGTCTGGCCTACATGACACATTCCTTCTTCACACTCACATCAACAAGTTTTACTTTGTGTACAGGGCTCTCAACGCAACGGCCACACAAAGCACATCTCCAACCACTCCGTCAAACTGCACGCCGCGCTGGTCTGGTCAGCGAATATTGATTGATATAATTTGTAGGGTTTGAGATAAATGTCATAAAGGACAATGAGTTCAAAGAACAGACTAAAAAACAATAAATTGAATTCCAAGGCGTTCCCTCCTGTACTAATCTGTGTAGGTTCCTGTGTTTTTGGAAAGCATGTTGCTTATCTTCCTCATCAGTAGGCCCACTGCATTCCAGTATTTTGGATCAATGCCATTTGTAATAATCTAGATCAGTTTTTATTCAACGTTTATAAAACAGGCCATGTATCATAGGGTATATTTTATAGCAGATGGTATCTCCAATTCATTTAACCCCCCCTTCACTTCCCTCCTCCAATATCACAGTGCATACTTATAAAAGCTCTTGAAAGTAGAGCTGAGCAGAATTTTTTTCAACAAATAGTAAATTTGCTGAAAAATGGAGTTTCCAAGCAACAAAACTGTTAAACTGTGGCACACTGAAAATGAAATGTTCTGTCTTCTAGAAAAAACAGGTCTTGCAATTTGGACTTTTGGGGGAAAAAAGAAAAGCGGGGTGGGTGGTTGCTTTCAGAAATCATTTTCATTTAAAAAAATTCTGCACTAAAAAGGTGATAAACACAAAGGTTAAACAACCAGAACACAAAGCGTTTGTTTTAGGTCAGATGACGTTTTTTGAGTTATCCCAGTGTCAATTGTTTGGGGATCTTCTGTGTGTTTTTAATTTGAAAAGTTTGTCTTTTGGCTTGATGAGAACTAATTTTCCCCAAGGCTTATTAATGTGGGGACTTATCCCCGAGACCCAGTATGTGCCAGACTCTACTCAAAACAGCTCTCCAAGACGACAAGAAAGTTTCCTGTTCAGCATGGTATTTAAACATAGCCCTAAGACTCATTTCAATAAAATGGACTATTCTAACATGTAGGGATAAGCACATGCTTAAGCACTTCGCTGGTTCACAACACCAAGTTTATTAGCTTTCAGGTTCAATGATGTACACCTTACAACCACTCCCTTGCTGGAGAACGTAATGGAAGAGACTGAAGATTTTCCTGAGATTAACATACCAAACGGTAATAAAATATATTTATTCATATCTGCTTGGGAATACTTCATTGTAATTTTGCAAAATATGATTTATATAACTCTGGGGATACATAAATCGCTGATAAAAAATAAATAAGTAAAAAATATTTTAGCTCGGTGACAACAGAACCAAACCATGGACTTTTTTATGTTTTACCTTTAATCACGCATCCAGGAAGACATGACAAATAAACTCATCTTAGTTTACCTTGCAGAAGTTTATCATACCTGCGTTTCTCAGAAACCTGAGTTTGTAGTCAACGATAACTCTGGTTTCAGGATTATAGAATCCCTCACCACAGTCGTAACATCCTTCTGGGATTTTCTTGGGAGGATCCAGATTTGTAAGCTGAGAAATGTCTGAAGAAAAAAAAAAAAGGGTTTGCTTTATTTTACCTTTTTTTTTTTTTTGCATTTGTGCCTTTGATTAAGATAACTGACAAATATTACATCTCCATGGCATTTGCTATAAAAACAATGAAGTTACCTTACAATAAATTTTATAAAACATTTTGCCAGTTTTGCAGATGGAGAAAATGAAAACGGAAAAATCCATACACAAAAAGTGTGTGATAAAAAGGATATCGCTTTGATTTCCTCATTCGTGGTCCTGTGATTCAGCCCACTAAGCTAACATTACAAATATGACCCCAAACTCCAAAATGGGGCCAGGAGAGTCTTGCTGGCCTCACAGAACTACATGTCATCACGAAAATATTCTATGTGTAAAGAAGAGCATTTTATGTATTATGTTACATATTTTACTCGTTCCTTGTAAATCTTTTCACCTTTCGACTACAGACAAATAATAATATTATAAAAGTCTTTAGCAAAAATATAGACTGGACAGAAATGTTTATTTTGGTATCTACTAAAAAGCTACGTGGGACAGACGCATTCAAACTTTATTTGATGTCCTGGATGTAAAGTAATTGCTTTTGCTCAACTTTTCTATATTAAAAGCACACAGCGAATGCAGTGAAGGCGAAACGTATAAAAGGGTTAATTGGGATATCAAAAGCTGTAGATAGCAAAGCCCTGTCCTGCAGGTCATCACTCAAGAGGAGACCACGCGGTGGATGTAATGCTGCATCCTGCGCTGCGCCGGTGGAAGGTGGTGTCAGCATTCTTCTGGCAGCGTCGTATGGTCAGGTCCTGAAATTAGCCAGAGCATTTCTGCTCCATGTTACTCATGTAGCCAAATTAATCTTTCTTAAGCAAAGTTGTTAGTTTAATTCCTTCCAGACTGTTAGGATCGCAAATGCAATTCAGTACCTGCTGGTTTAAGACCAGAACAGATTTCTGTATAAAATCTTCTGTCGTAGCCATCACAGTAATGCCATTTTTTATCTTTGTATTCGAGACCATCTGCAAAAGTGTATTTCCCCTGCAAAACATGTTCAAGCAGAGAGTTAATAAACATGATGGATGGATTGAGTACGAACAAGGCAGCGTTCCTGCTGCCAAAACCGCGCGGGAGCGGAGCAGAGCACGCGCGTGGCTGTGCTCGGGTTTGAGGAGCGTTGGGAACCGCGGCCGCGAGCTGCCTGGCCGCGAGCAGCCTCGCCCTGACACGTTCGGCTGCGGGACGCCGCCGAGGGAACGGAAAATTGGCTTGGCTCGGAAATCCGCTCGTTTCACCCCAAACCTTCTCCGCTCCCCGGCGGCAGGGTCCCCTCGGGGCGAGGCCCGGGGTACCTGCGTGGGCACCCCGCGGTGCCAGACCGCCCGGTATCTGCCGCCGTTGGGGAACAGCAGCTCTCCCTCGCCGTGGAACATCCCGTCCTTCAGCGCCCCCCGGTACTCGGTGCCCGTCGGCAGCGTGTAGGAGCCCTCTCCCTCCATCCTGGAAGAGACAGGGCGGTTGGGGAGGGCGGGACGGGCACCCCCGGGCCCCCCTCGCCCCGCCGGGC